AGCGGGGAGCCTCCCTCTGCCTGGCATTAATCTTTTAATCCTCTTAGATCATTTGGTTTATTGTCCTAGTCTACCTGTTTTCATTGTCTTTCTATTACAAATCAAAAAGAAAATCTTTTCAGCAAAAGCTGGAAAATATTTTAATAAAGCACATTTTAAACTGCTAATTTTGGCAGACATAAACTTAAATGAAACTTTTCATTTTTTCTCAAATTCCATAATATACATCCATTTTCTACTTCTTTTCTCTTTTGTGAGAAAAAAATTTCCAAGACCTAGCCACAAAATACTTTTAAAGTGTATAACTACAGAGAATACACATGAATGTAAAACTATTCGAAATGCATAATTGCACTAACAGCGAAGAAAGCATTCAAAGGCATACATCTTCCTGGGGCTCTTTGTTTATTTTGCTTTTTACTCCCCTTTTTGTAGTGATTATCAGATTTACCAGGGAGCACTAAATGCAGCATACAAAGGAAAAATAACTTGTTTGAAATGTTATGTATAAACAGGTAACCAGTTGCCAGTCAGATGAAAATAAAACCAATTGTTCAGCTGAAATGAATAACAAATTCAGGCAGTACAGTTGCTTCAACCGGCCATTGCCTTAACGTCTTCAAGAAACAGAGAAGTAGAATTGCCTAAGTATGTTACCACATATACTCTTTACCAGAGGTGTGTGCATGGGGCAGTTTTCCCAAATGGGTAACTGCTGCTAGATTTATAACAAACATTTCTGACAAACAAAGTTTTACTCAATTCTATTTCACAATATATTGAAATATTCTCTTCTATTGAAATGTATTTTACATTTATATGCGATATTGTATTCACTATCATATCCCTAGTACTTACTAGCACAGTGGATAGTACTTAGTCAACACCCAAATGAATAAGCAATGAAACTTTTTTGTGGCCTACAATTTACTTCATTTTGAAGGTTTAATTTGAAAAGTAGGGTATACTCTTCCTTTTTAAATACTGGCATATAAAGTTTCCAGTTCAGGCAGGTTAAAACTCTGTAGTCAAATGAATCTAAAAACAAAGCAATAGAATCCCTCATACTCTTTCTCTTCAGCAGCTGGCATGAGCGTCAACATTCCATTCAGTAAATTTTAAATTATGAAAATAAAGACTAAAGATTTCTCTCTTTAATTTGTTTGAGAGGAAAAAAAAAAAGAGTATGACAACCCTTCCCCAGATCCAACATGGTATAATGGAAAGAACGTGGACATTAACTTCACTCCTAGTTGTTCAACAAATATCTTTTGAGAACCTATGTCAGGCACTGTGTCAAAAATAAGAAATAAAATAAATTAAAAAAACAAAGCAAAACGCAGCCTTTGTCAATCTTACATTTGTTTGGGGGCATGTTTCTTTCAGCCCTTTGTTCAAATCTCATTTTTACCACTTTATAAGACTTTGTACAAATTATTTAAGGTCCCAAAGCCTCACCTTTCTCACCTGTAAAAATTTGGGACTGTTTAACCCATTTCTCAGTAGGTTACTAGAAGGATGAAATGTGGCAGTGCACATACAGTAACTAACCAGTGGTAGACTCTAACATAGGTTAGCTCCTGTCAACTACTCCCCTTTCTCCTGCAAACAATAGGTGATTCCCAGTAAGACATGAGAAAGGTCAAGACGTTTCCATATTTACGATATAATTCATTCTTTTGAGATCCTGCCAAATCAGTGGACAGGTATCATAATCCACGTTTTTGGGCTACTGAATTTATAATACCAGCTATATTACCTATGTGTTCAGATTTCTCCTTTTATGTTTTGTTTATTAAACTACTCATAAGAACTTCTTTACCACAAACTGTCACCTTGAGAGTGAAAAAAAATGCCCACAGAGTCCTCTGGTGCACAGAAAAAAAAAAAAAAAGAAAGAAAGAAAAAAGGTTGAGGAAGGATATCTTTGTCTGGTTTTGGTATCAGGGTGATGGTGGCCTCATGGAATGAATTCAGAAGTGTTCCTCCTTCTGCAATTTTTGGAGTAGTTTGAGAAGGATAGGTGTTAACTCTTCTCTAAATGTTTAGTATAATTCACCTGTGAAGCCATCTGGTTCTGGACTCTTGTTTTTTGGGAGTTTTATAATTACTGATTCAATTTCATTACTGGTAATTGGTCTGTTCATATTTTCTGTTTCTTCCTGGTTCAGTCTTGGGAGATGGTACCTTTCTAAGAATTTGTCCATTTCTTCTAGGTTGTCCATTTTGTCGGCATATTGTTCATAGTAGTATCTTATGATCCTTTGTATTTCTGTGGTGTCAGTTGTAACTTCTCCTTTTTCATTTCTGATTTTATTAATTTGGGCCCTCTACCTTTTTTTACTGATGAGTCTGGCTAAGTGTTTATCAGTCTTTTCAATGCCAAGAGCAGTAGTGGCAGCTGAGAAAGTAACCATAGTGTAAATTGTTTCACGTCTTTGACAGATCGGTCTGAACTGAAATCCCGCTGAAGAATAGACCAACTCCCATCACCAACACCCACCCTACCTGCTCCCCACTCAACATTTCCCCCATACACACATACATAGAAATGCACACAAACAACCAAAAATTAGAAAAGCAGAACCCAAGTCCCAGACACAGGAGTCCTTTGTGTCAGTGGGTACAGAATTATCCAGATAAAGACGGAAACATGCACACAAAGAGCCAGGAAGCCCCATATAGAGGCCTCTTCAAGAAGAGAAAAAGTGAAAGAACACTGCTTAGGGCATCCTACATCATTGTTACCTCTTGGTGACAAAGTTCAGTGCCACAAAACAGGTCCCTGAAATAATTTTTTTTCATTAGGCCAAGTATTACTTTACATCATTCTCAAGTTCCTAAAAGAGACATGCAAATATATTAACCCAAAGTAGATCAGGCAGGTAACATTAGTGAGGTGGGCCAGATACATTCAACTGAAATTTAAATATTTAAGGATTGCCTTTGTATCTATAAGTACTATGCTGACTCCTCTTTTTTTGAAACTCACACTCTTCTCAATCTACCTGTCATTGGCCTGCTTTTGAAAAAAAAAATACAGATTTTAGAAATATTTCACTTTTATCCTAACTTTATTGTAAGAAAAACAGCAGTCCAACCTTGATCATAAGTGGCAACTCACGCCCAATGTCAAAGAGAAATGAGAGCATGGTAGGGATTGTGTCAGTGGCCCTTGCAACTCAGCTCCAGCCTCTCGGGGCCACATGGATATTACAGGTGCAGCAATACCAAATCGCTCCACTTTTCAAAACAGCCCAGAAATTTGTATTTATGCTTTAGTGTTGAAGATAAATTTTTTAAAGTTTTAAACACTCGGCAGAGGTAAACAAAACACATCTGATGGCCAGACGTGGCCTGCGTACTCCTGCTTGAACCTTTGTTAAACATCTACACTGAGACAACTTTGTGCATATCTATGTGTGGGAGTTGGCAGCTGCGGTGAGCAAATCAATGCCATAATGTCACGTGGAGTGGAGAAACTCCAGTGGAGAGTAGAAAAGGGAAGAATGTTAAAATTTGTTGTACTACAGTTTGAGTTCACACTCTCCCTTGCTTCTTTTCATGAACCTCTAATTATAAATTAAATGGGATCTTTGGAACTCTTATAGTAACTTCTGTTTATGAAATCTACTCTGTGAATTCTATTAATTTATTAAATGTTATCTAAGATGGTTTTGGTGGTTTTAAACTTCTCAAAAACACCAGAAGGACATTCCCAGATCACTTCCATGTACTCCAATTCTGATGCCAAGCTTAACTGCTTATCTGGTAAAAGGGGCCCTGTGATGGCTAATTTTAATGTTCCTACTTGACCAGGCTGAGGGTTGCTCAGATAGCTGGTGAAATATTATTTCTTTTTTGTCTGTGAGTGTGTATCTGGAAGAGATTAGCATTTGAATCAAAAGATGGAATAAAGAAGATCACCTTCACTAATATGGGTAGGTAACCTCATGAGCCAATACCTAAAACAAACAAACAACTAAATAAACAAATCTCCTATTGGTTCTGTTTCTCAGGAAAACCCTGACTAATACACATTTTGGTATTTTGATGAGATTAGCATTTGAATTTGGTGCACTCAGTAAAGTAAATAGCCCTCCTCAACATGAGTGGACGTGATCCAATTCATTCAGGGCCTGAACAGAACAAAAGGAGGAAGAAGCAGGAATACATCCCTTTTTTTCCTGCTTCATCAATTGAGCTGGGACATCTCATCTTATCTTCTGACCTTGGACTCTCATATCTACCATTGGCTCACCTGGTTCTCAGGCCTTCTGATCCAGACTGAATTTTGTCACTAGCTTTCCTGGGTCTCCAGCTTACAGAAGGTAGATCATGGGGTTTCTCAGCCTCCATAATCACATGAGCCAATTCCTCACAATAAATAAATAAGTAAACAAATATTCTGTTGGTTCCGTTTCTCTGGAGGACCCTGACTAATACACTGATACAAGTCTTTTTCTGAACTAAAGTAAAAATGTTGCTGATCAAACTAACTGGCCAACCCAGGAAGATTCCCTGTCTTCCAGCTTGCCTCATGTAGTGGATATCAAAATCTCGTCTTCATCAGTGTTTCCCTCCCACCATACTATTTTTTTAAATCCTTAATTAATTTCTGTTTTAAAAGGACCATGTTTACAATTCTTCTGTATACAAATATATTTAAATGAAACCTGGCACTCAACCTATCTTTCTTTACATTTCAGTTGGTTCAATAGTTACCTAAACTTGGCTACTGAAAGAGTAATACTAGCAAGAATAGCCATCCCAAATATCTGGCCAACTGTTTAAAAAAAATTCCAAGTATCTCAAATCAATGATCTGTAACGAGATTCACTAACTAGGATTTCTGACAGTTTAGAAGAATAAAAAGTTTTCTTTTCTTGATAATTACACTGTGTCTGTATCATGGTGAAATGGGAGGGGTTTCAATGACTGAGTTTTGTAAAACACAAAAGAAAAAAAAAAAAAAGACAAGTGAGCACAAGGAAACTAAGTAAGACTTAAACTTCCTTTATTTCAAAGAAGCAGAAGCACTGAGAAATGGAAGCTGAGGTCCATACTATCCCGAGAGGGCTTTCTCCTGACTCTGATCTTCTAAGTCAGTGTTAGCGTTTTGGTACTGATGAAATCAGTTAATTTCCAGTACAGCCAGCTCTCCGTCATATGCTCTGAAACAGAAAGATCGAGGTGATATGAATAAGTCAGATATTAGTAAAATATTTTTTGAAGTACATGTTGGCTTTGGCAGGAGCTCCGTGCTTTCATGTAGCAGCATTATATTTCCTTTCTTCATCAAGTTTGGATTAGTTGAAATCAAAATTAGTTTCTGTTTCCTGAGCCACTGAAAGTGGGGACAGATGGATTAGAACATTCTTCTGGCTAAAATGATTGCAGCTTTACCAAGGGCAAGCCGCAAAGTGGAATCCCACACTCTGATAATCTGGAACTCAATTTAACACACATTCTGCAAAGAAATCCAACATTCATGACTAAGAGAACCCAACTCAAAAGCAGTAGCATCACTTTCCTTTATTCCCACCTAGTGAAGACAAACTGGAGAGTGGCTAAGCTCCAAAACAGTGAGTTGTTAATCATCATGGTTTTCATGCCTCTTGTAGAGGAAATGAGATGTAATCCAACGCCTGCAGAGGCCTTTTCAGGAAATTGCTCATCTGTCTAATTAAGCTCTTCTTTCTTCATAGGTCTATGGATACAGTCAGCAGACATATAGCTTCCAGAAAACCTTTGTGCCCTTTTTCTGTTGCTCATTGGAAATTTCTGATGTAATGGAATCTCCTTAAAATGAAGATACTTGGAGATTAAAATCTCCATTTTATGGTGATTCCATCACCTTGTATTAAGCACTGGCTAAACGTCATGGACACTTTATTAACAAGTGTCATTTCCTATAGGGAAGCACTTTTGAAAGAGTGCAAATTAGAAAGCCTAAGAGACTACACAGATGGTTTTATACCTTGTCACTAGCATAGAGCATCTAACTGCTCACTGGCGCCAAGTTTATAAGTGCTCAGGCAAGAATGTTCCAGCTTGTTTATTTGTTTTTTTCAGTAAAATAGTCATTGTACTTTAGCCTCTGCCCCTTTCATAATACAACACAGATGACCTATCCTCTGTCCTACCTGCCACCAGTTAACCTTGTTTCATTCCCTGTCCTTGCAAAGTTAGTACAACCCACTGCACTTCCACTGTAACCATTTACCATGTCTGTCCTTTCTAAGCCAGGTTCTCAATTTCTAACTTAATTAAAGAGCAATGTGGCAGACATTTATGGAGTCCTATGTCAGATCCTGGGCACATGAAACAGAGTAAGATGGGAGTTTTGCCCTCAAGAAGTTTGCAATTTAGCAGGAAGAAAAATACAAAATTGATAAAAACTTCCACATCCAACTATAATAGGAGCAAAAAGAAAAAACGTCATCTAAACAGCATGTTAAAGAAGCAAAAAGGAAGAGGCAAACAAGTCATCATTACTCTCCCTACCTATGAAAAAAAATTTATCACTTTTAAGTGCTTTTATATTTTGCAAATAATACTATTCAAATATGTGGTCATACATGTGTAGTTAAAGGAGGGTGGATAGCAAGTGTGTTCATCCTCTCCCACTGACCTATTATATCTAAGTACTTTAGAAAGGGAAAATTGATTCTTATTTATTAAGTTATACCAACACGGAATATAACAGATAAATGAGGTTAAAAGAAACAAAGAGCGCAGTATTGAAGTCTATTGAAGCTAATGAGCCTCCCCCACTTCCCTGCACCCCGAAAAGCACACTATAGCAATGATAGGACAGGCCTGGAACCTCAGTCTCATTCAGTTTTACCATCCTTGGCCCACCTTGAATCAAAACTACTCAAATCCTTAGATCTGTTGAAAGGCATCAAAATAGAAATAATTATGGGCCTTCAAGCAGGTCTCTAGATTTGAGATTTAACATTCCAGTAGTTCTGGAACGCATTCATCTCTATTCATGCACACCAAAAGAGTTAGAAGAGGATTTAGTTCATCTCTGTGCAACCTGAGCCTGAAGGCTCCTAACATCTGCTGTATTTATAGGTTGAGAGCAGATCCTGGCAAGGTCAGTTCCACTCCATTCAACAATTATTTGAGCCCAGGGAGTCCTTATTATTTAAACATGCATTATACCCCATCCCACAATTACATGGTTGCTTAGGGAAGCAAAGAAGCACCAGAACACAAAAATATTCGTAAAGAGGCTGATTGACCTCTTGAAATGCTAGTCACCACTTATCCCACTCTACTTAACCCCTAGCTTGTATCTCCAACCATCATATCAATACCAACTCTGATGGTGTAGATGTTATAGACATTTAATCAAACAACGCAAATGCAATGCAATAGATTGCCAAGCAAAATGACAAACATTGCAAAAGTTGTAGGATTTCATAAGATTGATGAAAGTTACGTCGGAAAATTCTTGGATCACACACCCCCACACAAAAGAATTGGCAATGGTGGATCTATTAAAAATTAATGAAGAGGAAATCAACAAGGATACTGATATGATAGGCATGGTAAAAAAGAAACAAAGAATGATTTGATAAAAAGGGTTAAGAGAGCACTTTAGGAAAATTGGTAAAGCCATCACTTAAGGCAAAAACTCCATTGAGATAACATTGCAAAAGGCATATATACATTAAGTGAAGATTTCAATATTGCTACCATACAATTTTATTAGAAAAGTTAGGCCGAAAAGAATTATCAGTATTTCATTCATCTTTGTTTTCTTAATGTGCTAAATGTAATTTAACTTACATTTATTTAAATGTAAGTAAGAATAAACAAATTATCACCATGACATTTAATTTCCTTTTGAAGATACAGACCCAATTCATGGTTCTTTTAATTATGAAAAAAAAAATTTAAGTGTAAGTGGATTCATTTTTAGGAGCATTTTATATATATATATATGTTCATTCCTTGGATGTCCACTCCTTGGATAATGAAGACCCAGTCACTGTTCCAGCCATGATCTTTACCCTAAAGAAGCTTCTAAAATCCCATTAGGCTGCATCACCTGTCAAGTCACAAGTAAGCACTATAGCATCAACCTGTGCAGAGGAATTCACCTGAATGTTGCACGCACATTCCCATGGTCAGTTAATTTAGTGCCGATGGGAGGGCTTTGCTCCTTATTTTAACCTAAGCATTTTCTTTGATTAAAAGGAAGGACCTAGCACCCTAAATTCATTTTCCCAGGACTAATAAAAGAACATTCATCAAAGAAAAATATCTCCAAGTGTTCAATTCTAGGTTATTTACCTTAGGTGCCTAACGATGCTTAGTTGAAGAGGTCAGGAGCAATGCTATGAAGCACATAGAAAGATTAGAAGATCCTGTCCTGAGAGAAAATATAGCCTCCTCCACCCCAAAAGCCCTGATCCTCTGACCATCGCAAATTTGCTGGAGCTCTATTGGAAAAGCACTGGTCTCTCTCTACCATAAGCTACAAAGCCCTCAATGGGAAACTATTTTATAACATCCCTCTCCTTCTGAGGAGGTAACCTTGTACAATATAAGAAGCCCAGATGTTTTGGAGTCAGACAAGCTGAACTTTAAATGACACATTTGTATATACGAGCTGTATAATATGGACAAGTTTCCTATCTTTTCAAAGCCTCAGTTTCAACCTCTCTGCTATAAAAGTAATAAAATCTACTTCATGGAGTTGCCAGGAGACTGCAAATGACACAATGATGCTGAATGCCCAGTTATGCTTTATAGTAGGCACACTTTCAAAAAAATGTTGGTTCCCACCACTTCCCCCTTGACAAGGAAGATGACGGGAAAGTATAACCCCGCTGGCACCTGGTGGGAAATGAGGAACTGAAAGGCGATAGAGGGAGTGTAAGAGGAAATGGAGAGGGTGACACAGACCAACTTCACCAGCACCACCCCAACTCTTCCCACCTCACCGCAGCCTGGTCCTAATCTCACATGGAAATGAGGGATAAGACACCTGTGTGTCAGACAGAAAGTACAAACTCAGTGCATCTGACTCAGAAACTGGGCCAGGCTGCCCAGAGCAGGTAATAAATATAACCACCCTGATCTAAGTCAGAGGCCTCAGGGTTCAGTCACTCCCAGCTGAGAGGTTTTCCTGTCATTGGAAGGAAACCCACTATGGCCAACAGGTGACAGTTGCTAATCGTTTTCTAATCTTAGCGTCAAACATGATCTTTTCATGAATGTGGTTTTCTTGGTTTGGTTTTGTTTTTTAAGATAGCTTATGAAAGGAGATCTCTTCTAGCCCTTGGAAAAATAGAGATATTCAACAAAAACTGGTGCATGTTAGTCTTCATCTTCAAGATCTGAGCACTTTCATCTATAATGAGTCAACAAATATTTACTAAGCCCCGAGAATATTTGCTGTGTCAGGCATTGTGAGTGATAGAGAAGGGGTGAAAGGTGTGGATTTCACTCTCAAGGAACTTGCAACCAGCTAAGGCACGCGAGACCTACCCCCACCCAAACCCCCGTGAAATAACTGGCCAATGGGACAAAATAAAAATATCTATCCTCAAGTGACAGTATACGAGAGTGTCTGCTGCCCCAGAGAGTTGTCATGAAGCTCAAATACAGTGATGCACAAAAGCTCCTAGCAGGAGCTTTAACACTTTAATTTTTCCCTACCCCTAGAAGAAAATCTAGGAGAGAATAATGTCAAAGCCAAGGCAGCAGGGGGTCACAAGGAGGAGGTTATCAACAGCAAATGCTGCTGAGAGATTTTGACGAAAAGCAAGTCACAACTGACCCTTTAGAGAACTGTTTTTAGAGTGTGATGAAGATCAAAGTCAGTTAATTGCAAACCGTTAGGAAATGAAGGCATATCTCAAAAGTGTAGCCAACAGGCATAAACTACACCTTTGAGAGGCTTGAGTGGGAAAAGGAAGAGAGAAAAGCCGTAAGATCTAGTGCTGGGCATTCTGTTTCTTTTTTACAACACAAAGCTCTGTTTAAAAGGTTCCTCTACAAAAACTAAAAGATTCTAGAATCTTCCCCAGCTCTAATATAAAGCCAACAAGACAACCACGTGGTCTTGTGCCTCCAAAGAACTCAAAGTAAGTAGACTCAATTTCTTTTTTTTTTCTTTTTAATCAAAACATTCTAAAATAAACATAAAACAACTTTTCCAAATTTTTTCCAAAAATTAAATAATCTTGTTCGTTTCATCAGCATTCTACGAAGCAAAGCAAAAGAAGGTAAAGGTTGGGAATTCCCTGGTGGTCCAGTGGTTAGGACTCCACACTTTCACTGCCAAGGGCCCTGGTTCAAGCCCTAATCGGGGAACTAAGATCCCACAAGCTGCGTGGCCAAAAAAAAAAAAAAATAGATAGAGGTTAATTAGTTTTAACTGCAAGAAAGTTTAAAGAACTTTTGCCTAGAATCTTGCTAATCTCTGTTAAAATGATTAAGAGTTAGTGTATACTTTAAGTCAATAAACATTGACGTATTATACTGGCTTTTTATATCTCTCATATCACTGAGTAAATGTTATAGGAAATATAAAGATGCTCATAACAAGCCTTTTGCCCTCTGGAGACTTCAACTCAATAGAGACAACAGAAAACGTATAAGTAACTTGTGTAAAAAGGACACTGTGACCAATTTAATAAAGGGCTAAAGATATTAGGAGGAAAAAAGAGAAAAAGGTGAATGTTGGACTGGGGGAGCTGAGTTTCTTTGGGAAAAATGAATTTAAGTTGGACTTTAAAGAAAGCATAGGAATTTGAAGGCAGATATGACAAGGACAAAGAAGGGGGAGGAGGGTGTACAGTTCCACTGGAATCCAGGCAGGAAGAAGAATGAACAAAACCAAGGACAGTCATAAACAAAAGACCATACATAACAGCCTAAAGAGACGGGAGAAATATCCACGTACCAGAAGGGACTCGACTAAATCCAAGCCTCTAGATGGAAGATCCATACCTCCAGGCCTTTCTGTCCAATTCATTATTGTGTTATTACTCATGGCACTATTTCCTAACTTCAGTATTTCAGCTCTAGGGTCTATTTTTTTCCCATTGTATTCATACAGCAGAAAGAGGAAATAACTCATCCAGCGGTGGGGATTTCTTAGTAGGGTTTTGAAGAGAGATGCTGAGGGTGGCTGACTCTGCGAAAATGTTTCCTTTTTCTCTTGCTGTTTGTCAGATATTACTGTTGGGCAACCCTGGTGAGTGTCATCAACATGCAATCTCATCTGATTTATCTTCCTTTACTCACTCAAACTCAGCCCTTTGCCTCTTCTTTCTTTTTTTTTCCTAGCTCATTTAGAGTTTCACAACCTCTTACCTTTAATTGCTGAGTAAGTACAAAACATTTGTGTATGTGGCATCAGATATGACAATCTCCAAGAAAAATGACTCACAGTCACAGAGATGGCCGTGGCTACCTATTATGCCTTAATATTTTGCTTTGCCATTATTTCATTTTAAAAGTTCAATTCTATTTTTCTCACAGATTCACTTTCAAAATAATAAATTTTCGCGGCTGGCTTTTCCTCCAAGTCCCTCCCTTTTGAAATGTGCATGACTGAAGTAAACCGTATGTGCTCCACAGAACTAGTGTCAGTCTCCCCAGAGACCCATAAAAAAATTTCACACCAATAAACTGTTGATGTGAGTACAGGCAATGGAATATTTGGGTCTAATGGAATCGAAAACGGGCTTTCAATCACAGAGACAGAGGAAATTAAATTCATTTGTAGGTCAAAAGCTTTACAAGTGTCCTAGAGGTAGGGTCACCATGGTTACTGGCTCCACCCAGCTAACACAGATACAGAGTCTTTACAGATTATCCCCAAGTCGACCTAACTTTCCTTGGATCAGCCAAGAAAACTTTGTTTCCTCCTTTCCCAATTTCTCTCCTCTGCCTCCATCTCAACAGGAAGAAAAATAGTTTGGGTTCTGACCGAGATTTCTGGAGCAGAATTCCAGATCTAACTGTTAAATAAATATATACAGTTTGAGCGTAAAGAAAGAGATGACTGTGCTACAATGGCTAACTAAGGCAGGTAAGGAAAAGCAGGTAGTGTGTTGATGCTTTCAACAGTCTGTAGCTTTTATAGACCCTGCCACTCCACACCTGTGCCTGGACTCATAAACTTGGGGGCAACAAGCATTTTCAAAGCATTCAGTTAAACTAGGAAGGACTGTAAATGCATGAAAAGGTTTCTAGGACCTGCCTCATGTCCCTGAATGCAAGCTCTACTCTACCTATTATCTTTTTATATAAATATCTTCTCCTGCCCACAAATCCTGAAAGGGTCAAATCCTGGGAAGTCACTTGTTGTCTCTGTCAACACACAAAGGAAGCACCTGCTATAAGATGTTTCCTGCCCGCCCGTGGCAATCTTTGCTTCCAGGTTTGCTGCTATATGCACAAAGCTTTCAATAGCACCTGGAGCTTAGTAGGAATTCACTAAATATTTGCTGAATATTGAATGAATTAACAAATCAAAAGGTCTCATTGTTGGTAAAGTGTCCTTTTAACTGACTACCTTGCTACAAATCAGTCTTGCTGTTACCACCAGTCTCTATACTTTGAATCTTTGCCATTTGTTTCATTTTAGGCTCCCGTGTATTTCCAGCCTTTGGAGTTTTATAGCCTGGATTTGGCCCACAGACCAGCAATTTTTATGGTTGTCTTGGGATTAGACCATTCATTACCATGGCTTCAACACTTCACTACCTGGCTTATCTTGGCTTTCACAGTCCTAAATTCCAGAGCTACATTGATAGAAATCCATACATAGCGCAATGATTTAAAAGAGTGAAAATGTGGAGGGTTACTAAATGTAATAGCCAGCCTCCAAGATGTTTTCCAGTGTCCTTTGCCTTTAGAGCTTGCTTCTAACAAATTGAACACTGTAGAAGTGATATATCGCTTTCAAGATTTAGTTATAAAAGACTGCTGATTCCATCCTGTGATTCCTCCCTCTCTCTGTCTCTCTGTTTCTCTCTCACTGTTGGATCACCTGGGGTGATCTAGGGTAAGCCAGCTTCAGGTGGATCAGCCCCACGAAAAAGCCCATGTGGTGGGCTTCCCTGGTGGCACAGTGGTTGGGAGTCTGCCTGCCGATGCAGGGGACACGGGTTCGTGCCCCGGTCCGGGAGGATCCCACATGCCGCGGAGCGGCTGGGCCTGTGGGCCATGGCCACTGAGCCTGCGCGTCCGGAGCCTGTGCTCCGCAAAGGGAGAGGCCACAACAGTGAGAGGCCCGCGTACCGCAAAAAAAAAAAAGAATCATTATTGTTATTCTTTTTAGCTATCTGTTATTACTAGAATTTTTAGAAGAGATGCTCAATAATCAATTACAATTCAAAGAAAACACATCCATGTTGTATATGATTGCCTTATCTCAAATAAGTTTTTGGTTTTTTAAAATTAATTAATTAATTTTTGGGTGTGTTGGGTCTTCGTTTCTGTGCGAGGGCTTTCTCTAGTTGCGGCTAGTGGGGGCCACTCTTCATCGCGGTGCGCGGGCCTCTCACTGTCGTGGCCTCTCTTGTTGCAGAGCACAGGCTCCAGATGCGCAGGCTCAGTAATTGTGGCTCACGGGCCTAGTTGCTCCGCGGCATGTGGGATCTTCCCAGACCAGGGCTCAAATCCGTGTCCCCTGCATTGGCAGGCAGATTCTCAACCACTGCACCACCAGGGAAGCCCTCAAATAAGTTTTTAAATATAGGGTTTACCAGAAGTTAGACCAGTTCCACAAAACAATGTTCCAGATATAGAAACAGAAATGACCACATCTGGCAGTTGAACATGTCTAGGAATTCTTTTGGAGAAATTAAATGTTTGGGGTTTACGATAGTTGTGGTTATCATGGATGTCATGTACATCGATAGAGTTGCACTTTTTGAGATCTTACAGCCACTGAAAACAAGCCCGTCTTTTAAATTATAAAATATTTAGCATAATGCAGTTGCATGGAGGCCTCGGTTTCATGCCTTTCTGAGCACTAAAAGGAATTCTCTTCAGTCTTCTTCCAAAGCTTTCTTTCCAGGCAAGGTTTCATCCATTCTACAGAAACTACTCATTCTATAGAAACTTCCCTCAAATGGAGGGAAAGGGCTAACACATTACACTTCTTAATTCTTACCCACATTTCAGCAACTTTTCATCTTCTCTTTGTCTGGTCGCCTGAAGGCATACAGAAAACAACACAATCTGGTCATTTGACAAAACTAGCCACCTACAATGAATGAGTGTGTGGACTTTTATCATATATAAAATACCTTTAAGTAGCTAAACTAAGCATGGACACAATAAAAGAGGAAGATTATAAAGGAATATACGAAACGTAAAATTAAACGTTGTGGAAATGTCAAGGATGGAGAGATGGTCCAACTGGGTAGATATAGGAAAGTTTAATGCAAGGATGTGGCACTTGACCTTAGCCATGAACAGTCAGGAGGCTGTGATGATTGAGGGAAAGGGTATACCAGTCATCAAGATCAGCAATATGAATTCTCAGTTTTGCAGAGAATCAGAAGCAACACACCTGCCCCTATTTGTAGCAAAGTTAGCAGTTACAGATCTTAATGACCACGTGGAGTAATGGGAAGAGCACAAGCTTTGGACATAAAATGACAAGGGGACTGAGTACTGAGGTCCAGTCACCACATGGTCACTTACAATTTTATTACCTTAGAGATATCACTTAACTTTCCTGAGCTTCACTTTAACATTCTGTAAACATCCAGAGCAAGAAAAACAAGTTGGCAGCGTTGTTTGTATTTGTAAGCAAGAAGCATATCTCCTGAGAGAATGTTACATTTGAATTAAATGTTAATTATAAAGTTTCTCCATAGCAAAGATACCACAGACCTAAGTACTTCCTTATATGTAGATAAATTTCTTCTTCTAAGATTACTCTGCATTTAACTTCTAAATTCTCTTTCTAAAATTAACTCTGGGATCTGGAGACTAGAATAATAGAAATCTCACATGACATTTTTCCAGGAGCAAGCTACTGAAAAACTGCTAAATATAGAATATACAAAGAGGAGGAATATGGAAAATTATGGACATATAGGAAATTACAGCCATAAAATTTCAATGTCACATTGCAAAATGCCAGATGCTGGAATTTCCTATAAAGTTTAATTGTATTTGTTTCAAGGAGAAATACCTTGGAAAGCTGGATTTCAGGAGTTCCTCATATTTTAGCCTACTATTTCCAATTATGCTGGAACTTCTCTATCCATCCTGGATACACTGGAGATGTATCATTATCTAAACAATCATTTCCATTTCACAGAAATCCCAGGACTGTTTTTTCTAACAATTGAGTCATAACACTGCTGTTCCCATGGTTACCAGGAGTTCCAATTTCAGTTCCTCAATATGCATTTTATCATGTAAGATTGTACAATCCTTCAGAATAGGCCATACTTAGTTCCACATGCTCTATTATTTTCTCCAAGTTTCTCACACCCAATCCCCATTTAAGCTTCCTGTTTTGCTCATTTTTTGACTAAAGTTTATGTATCCAACCTATATGGCGATCCTCTTTCTAGCCAATAAATTCAAAGCAATGGAGTGAATTTAAGGGACAGGAATTGGGAGAAGATTAGAAAAATCTGCTTCTCATCACTCTAGATTTTAGCCCTAGATTTTAGCGCCATAGTTATGATGGTAAGGGAAAGAGCAACATAAATCCCAAACTACGGTGTCCTCAGTGATTCTGTGATTCCATTTTATCTGTTCGAATTTCTCAACTGCAAAGGAATTTAATGCTCACAGCTCTGAAAGGTACTTTCTCTGGATATTGGGGTCTTACACCAGAGTCCATAGAATGGGCTTCAAAGGTGCTCATCAAGTGCCTGAAATTACGGGGACAGGGCACATGCACATATCACTTCACGTGGCTGAAGGAATTCACTTTAATGAGGAAAAGGTCCGTAGCCTTTTAATCAGGTTCTCAGAAACATATGTACAGCAAAGATGTTTAAAGAACACTCCTCTTGGACAAGATCTCTGTTTTAGGAAGGAGCTCCGAAGGGACAAGTTGTTAATAAAAATAATTTTGGCAAAATAATCTTCAGTCGTTGAGAGGTTTTAAAATTTGATGTAAAA